TGTTTCAAACACAGCATCAAAAATCTGATCTTGGCAATCTGCACTTTTCATATCAAAGTCAATCATAATGGCTTGAAACATTCCCTAATGAAACGGCATTGCCTGATGACCTCTTCTTTATCCCTAAGTGGGACTTATCTCAAGCTAGTGCCAAGCCACAAGCTTTGCGCATCGAAGCGAGCTTAGTGAAAAATGTCAACCAGCAAATCGTGGCATCACTACTGCTGCCTTCTCTGAGTGTGTAGGACAAGGCAACAAGATGCTCATTAATACTCCTCTCTCGGAAGATTGGCCTATTCCCAGATTTAGGTACAAAGGTGAGCCTTTTCCCTGGGTTCAGCAAATTCTTAAATTGCAAGATGATGTCGCCAATAACTGTCTCTCCGCAAAAGTGACTTGCATTACTCACGTTAGTTAAGGATACTCTTGAAAGGTTCAAGCAAGATCAGCTTCTTGAAAACGATTTTCGCATGCAAATTCTTGAGCCCATATGGGCTTCTGCTGCAGCCTGTATATGCTAGGGAAAGTTGCGTAACTTCTCGACTGAGTCGCGGAACCTTACGCGGAGATGTCCACTGCCGCGTGACTTCAATGTACAGTTATTGGACACGTGGCCAGTTAAGTATGATTCGGTAGTATGTTGCATTGATGAAATCATTGCCAAGCTCAGTTAGGAGGGCTAGCTCAAAGTGAAGCTAGACGCTGGAAAGATGCACAAGACATCCTCAGCTGTACTCGCCTCCGACTTCTGTCCGCATGCACCACCAAGCCCGATTGTAATCAGCAAGGCCCCTATATAGATCCCTTATAGAACCCTCAAAGGAACCCTGAAAATACCCTTTATAAGAACCCCTTTAAAGGAACCATAGTCCTATAGTCTTATTCTTATAAAGACCCCTTATATGATTTTTTATTACAAGAGAGCCGGCAGAAGGCGGCCTCTAGCTCCGTGCCGATGGGATTGGAGGTCCTCGTGGCTTCAGTCTGAGGGCTTTAAAGGGCCTTGGAAGGTCTCTGATGACTCTATTTTTTAGGAGTTCGGCCTATATAGGTGTGAGCTCTGTTTAAACATCTTGCGAATGCCCCTCATTTGGAAAGCATTAAGCTTCTTTGCCATAGCAGTGGTTCAGTGGATGGTTTCTAGCCCATATAGTAAATTGCTGCAGATTTTGGCATCATAGACTATAAGTTTCCATCTCTTGCTAGCTTGGGTTGCTTTCCAATAGGGTTTAACTTGATCAAGTGCGTCTTACCTCTTGCAGCTTGTTCGCGATTCATGACGAATATTAACCTCCCTGTTAATGTCATTACCAAGATACGTAGCTTCGAAAGGGACTTGCTTGGGGGTCTCTAATTTTAGGACTTCGGCCTAGAGGAGTTCGGGTTGAACAGGGTCAAAACACAGGCAGGACCTTGTTCAGGACTTTTGCTCCAAAGGCCTCGACTCAACTCGCACTCATGGTTCGCCTAATATAGGGGCCTTAATAATTGGAATGGGGTTTGCGGGGCCTATTATACTATAGTTATAATAATAAGGAGCCCCATAATAGGAAAGGTAAGTATTAAGGCCCTTAGATTGCACATCCTCAATCGAAGCCGCCTTCGGATGGACCCCCAACAAGTAACATGACAACCCGAAGCTGAAGACAACATCCCTGAACTCCTCGAGTGGTTTACGTGCATGTAGCCATATGGGTAGTTTTCAATATTAGGGTCCCTTTTAAGGTCCTTTTTATAGGGGTGCCGTACTTTATTGGGGACCTAAAAAGGGACCCCTACCCATATTACAGATTTAGAGGATGTAGGCTTCGGGCAGTAAAGTCGACAATGGTTGCCGTGTGCGGCTGCCGAAACTGCCGTGACCTACTTTTATTGCAGGGTTCCTCCAGCTTTCACACTGGGTTTTTCCTAAGGGGGCTAAATCAAACTTGGGGTGCAGTAGCTACAGGTAGAGATATTCAAAGAGACAAAAGCGCGGCCCAAGGATAGCCACAATATAAGGGCCTTCATAATCAGTAATTAGAATAGGGCTTAGGGTAAAATTCTACAAAAGTTAAAATAAGGACCCCCCCAAAATAATAATAAGGAAACAAGTACAGGTAATTGAGACTACTAACCCTAAACCCTAAAGTAACCCTAAACCCTAAAGTAACCCTAAATATTATAGTAACCCTAAACCCTAAACCCCAAATAACCCGAAACCTAAGTAACCCTAAGCCCTAAACCCCAAAGTAACCAGGGCCCCCCGCCATTGCAGTCCCACCGAGCCGATACTTGCGATGACCGTCTCACTGAGGATGGCCTGCCGAGAGATGGCGGGTGTAGAGATGGGGGGCAGAACACTAGGGGCCTTAACACAGAGAGGTGGCTTTAGGGTTTAGGTTTAGGGTTTAGGGCTTTTGGGGGGATGGTATACTATAGCCATAACCCCTTTTTTTCAGAACACCACGCCCTGGTGGAGTGTATTTGCGTGTAGAGTTCTTTTCCACAGCATTTGTTT